GTTATGGTTAGCATTAGCTGCTCTGCTAACAATGAACCTTAGTTAGCTACGTGAATCATAACTTTGTTAATATAACACAACTTGTGAGCTAGGAACACTGTTTGGAGCTAACAATAACCTTTMGTAACTTCTAACTTAGCAACACTTTCATTGCATTTAGTGAGTATTCAGACCCTTACAGCTAGTTATTTACAGAATAAACCACTAGCAACAGATCTAGAAACTTCTTCAGTTGTTGATGGAAACTTTTGAAGACTCTGGTGTGAGAACACACATTGTTTGTACTTTCCTTAACGAGCAGCAGGTGCTGCAGCCTCTCCCCTTTCCCAAAGCACTCACAAGTGGTCCAGTCCTCGCACAGCAGTCCCWCCCATCTGCAGTCAGAGCAGGAGTGGTTCACCCCCTCCTAAAACTGCACCCTGGTAACATTTTAACACAAAACACACCCAGAAGTGATGCATGTGTCTTTTGGACCTGTGTTTGTCTCGTTAAGGTCTCCCAGTCTTACCCCAATGAAACGTGGGATCTGTTTAGTCGTTGACTACAATCTGCCAGACCTTGAGGAGCAGCTGTGGACCAACTTTCCACCGACAATACATCAGTTGTATAACATGTATATAAATGTAACTACATTAAACTAGCACTAGGCCCTTATTACCAACACTGTTACCCTTTTGATTTAAAATCACTGCAATAGAGTCACACAGTTTCGTTTAATTTCTGCCACTCTTGTCTGGAAGCTTAACTTTATTTGAGTGAGCGTACTTTTTCTAACCCTTAAGCTATAATTCTTCTTGACATGCAGGGGATTCTACCCTCTCCGGGCCCCCAATTACATGCTTTCACTTTTCACCTCAGCTTCTCGCCGGACTGCCAGGCGGACATTTTTTTCTATCATGCAGAGGAGGAAAAAAAAGAGAGCATAGAGCCAAGCATTATCAAGGTTAGGAAAAGAGCATCTAGTTGTACCCAGGGAGAATCGGGTGGTGGGGAAATGCACAAATGCAACAAACATTACTCTCAAGGACATGGGAGCAGGATGCAGCCAAATATAAAGGAAATGTGGGGGAACAAAGAAAGCTGGATTTTAAAGCAAAGATTAAAGATAATCAAGAAAGATAAACAGAGAGAGGAAGAAATRGTGGAAGGCTGCAGAGGGAGTTGCCTAAAGCACAGAATCAGCTGTAGTCATGTGTGTGAGTCTGTGTGTGTGCTTGCCTCAGCATCCTGGCCTCTAACCTACGGCAGATGAAAACAGATTGCTTTGACAGGTCCACTGACATCACATGAGCTGTTCTGCTCTTTTGCCAGAGTCTCCTGGGAGTCCTTGGTTGCCAAATGTCCAGTAGGACTTGAAGCGTATTTGCTGCTCGGGATCTTTCTCAGAAATTTCAATTCCCAACATGCAATCTGTTTAGATGTGATTTTTGCAGCTCAAAGTCTAAGTCTCATTAGAGTCTGGATGAAAAAAGTCATGCTGAAGGCGTTTGTTCATCTTGATTTGTAAATTATTTGCGTTCACTCTAGTTCCCTTTRTTGGTTTCATAAACCAGAAGTGGTGGGTAGGGTTTCACAGCTCCAGGCCAGATTCATTAGTTTATAACGAAACGAGAACCCATTAAGAAGTCATGGGATCAGTCGCCTGGCTGGTTCCACTCAGTCTGCTGCCGTCTCCAGCCTCCCTGACCACCTCCGGACATCCAGGAGCCCAGACAACGGTGGACGGACCAGAATCCTGAGCACACGCCTTCAGCTTCCCAGCATTTGCTCATGATCTGACACAACTCGGATCGATATCCAGAGAGGACACTTACTTTATTTTGAGGCAATCCATTATCCCATAAACATGCCCTGGCACTGGCTCCAGACTCACTGTGTGTAATGGAGACGAATGGAAAAAATGGCACTCAAGAACTTGTTTTGGCCGCCATTCGTCAAGGCAACCATTATGCAGCTTTGAGTTAGAGGGGCAGCGAGCCCATCAGTTAATGCATAATCAGGACAGACAACATAATGTGTTAATGCGGTGCTCCTCCATGCTTCTTTAATTAGTATAAGTTATTAATCGGTTAGTGCTGAAAGTCCCCGACCTGCTTAATGAGTGGGAAAACAATTCTGGAAATTAAATTTAGTGTCTTTAATGGCTCTGATTGTATTAATGAGTCCATTAGTGGTTGCTTTAATACAAAAGACCCATTATAGTCCATTTACCTGCACACGGGCTTAATGTTGTTTCTTTTGAATTAATAAGAATCTACATTTATGCTAAAATGTTTCTCATACAGTGATTCTGAAAATGCAGTAATCATTAGAGGACCCCCGTCTATTTAAATGAGCCACCGGCAGATAGAGCCGGCTGAGCCAGGAGCTAGAGAGGTGGGGAATAAAGAGCATATTTATTCACTGAAGGATCTTTGAGTGCACGGTTCCATATATGCATAAAGACGAGCATTAAGAAGAGAGAACAAAAGGCGTCGACGGAAAGGGGAGAGGGATACCAAGGACGTTTTTGAGGGAAATGAGGTGCAACAAGCAGGTGCATAAAAGGAAATGATGTATGCGGTGCCAGCACTGGATCGTGGTTTGTGTATCCAGGATTTATTGCTGCACACTTAGCGACAGTGCAGCACAAACCACCTGATCATCTGTTATTATTGTAACATCTCTCACTTTGGGGGCACGCATGATGGATGGGAAGCTGTTAATGACTTCGGGTTGAAATTATAATTACCACGAAACTGACAAAGTATTTTAAAAAAGGTGGGGTTAGCAACTGAGCATTGTCTTTATGGACACGGTCATTTATTTTAATTATTACCTGTAAAAAATGGATCATAAAGTACGRCCATTAAGGAATGGAAAACTTTCAACTTGTATTCAACTTAAAAAAAAGGAACATAACTTTTTGTGTTGTGTGTATTCTCTACAAATTGTCTAGTTTTATTGGAAACACAAACCGAACACCTCAGATCTGTTTCTGCAGAGGAATTTAAATATAAATATACACCGGCTCTTTTTGTTTGCAGTTATTTGACTTATTTTTTTAAAAAATGTGATTCTTCTCTACACTAATACGCCTACAGAATCAGAAAAAGTCACAGATTTTTAGGTTTGGGAAAGTTAAAAATGGAGAGCTTTGCATCCGGAAGTCTGATCCGCCCACCGTATATCAGTTGTAATTGGTACCATTAGTCTTTATATGCTTGACTTCCTGCCAAAATGTCATCCTATCCATTTCCCCTTGTCACAATTTAGTATTTTTTACAGTATTGTAATTATTTAAATGTGCCTGTTTCATTGTAGACATTTATACATAAAAATATCAAATTTAAAAACAACAAAACCCTACACACGGTGTCTGACAGCCAGTCCTGRTCGCTCCGTGCTGCACGCCGAGCAGCACCTGCTGTGGAGGTCATAATGGAAGCAATTAAACCTGTCAGAGAAATAACACCGTGTCCTGAATGACTCTACGTTTTAATGACCCTGGTAGAAAAATCAGGCTTTCAGTAAGCCGTACGGAGTGGCGACATGCAGACAACAAATTAAAATTATACCAGTCGGAGTGGAAAATTGACTAAAGTCACTGTTGATTTGTTACGCTAAAGAAGTGAGTTTATTCTCTTAGACTAAAGCCTCAAAGTCKTATTCTAAAATAATATGGATTTTTGTAGCAGCTTAATATGAAGACTGTGAATTCTCCTTCAGCATTCATAAAACTGTTTTTTATTCTATACATATTTTTCAATCTGACTACTTCTACATATTTTATGCTTTTTTAAACATTCATGTCATATAAATCTATTTAGTTTCTTAAAACAAAGTTCTCTTTAAAGCATGTTTTAGAATACTGGCTCTCTTTTTGCCTTATTCTTCTACTTGATTTTTTAGCTAGGCTTTTCCTGTTTTTTGTTTTTAGCTACCGTTGTGCTACTTTTAGTTTTCATCTAGGCTTGCTTTTTTAGTTTTTAGCCACTTTTGTTACTTTTAGCTTTCAATAAGGCTTTTGCTTCTTTTTAGTTTTTAGCTACCGTTCTGCTAATTTTGGCTTAACTTTTTCTACTTGTAGTTTTGAGCTACGATTCTGCTACTTTTAGCTTTCAGCTGCTCTTTTGCTATTGATAGTTTTAAGCTACTGGTCTGCTGCTTTTAACATTTAGCTAGACTTTTAGTACATTTAGTTTTTAGCTACTGTTTGTCTAATTTTAGCTAGGCCTTTGCTGATTTTTTTAGCCACCTTTCTGCTACTTTTAGCTTTCAACTAGATTTTGTTACCTTTTCATTTTTAGACATTGTTCTGCTTCTTTTAGCTTTGAATTATCATGTTTATTTTACCTTTTTAGCTATTTTTTTGTTTAGCTTGGCCTTTTGCTTCTTTTAGCGGTAACAGTTATTTCCAGCAGTTCTTCAGATTTTAGCATTCAGCACTCTACATTTTCTTAGAAAAAGCAGTTTGTTTCTTTCCTGTCTGTTCAGATAACAGCCGAGCCGCTGACCTGAAATGCTCTGAAATGTGTCCCAGATTTCAAAACGAAGCATTTCTGTGAATCTCTTCTCAGGCTGAAGTCACAGTAATCTGTACGTTGTAAGAATATCTGAATATGACAATAAAAATTATGCTTACCCCAGTCATGCTGGAAGTTTAGCTCGTTGAAGATTCACCTTCAAGTTTTTCTTATCTAACAAAAGACTGAAAGCATCAAAGCTGGTTTATTTTTTTATTAAATTGTTGAAACATTTAGAAGAAATGGGCGCCTAAAGGATGATTCATTCCCTTTTATTTTAAAGCTTCACATATCCATTTTTCTGACTCTGGGAGCTGCAGTGCTGTGAAGCTAAATTACAAAACGTTTGACATCACGCTAACAAAGCTGTGTTGTATCTTCTTTAAGCTGCAACATTTTCTTTTAATCTTCCCGTGYCTTTGTGGAGCGCGCCGGCAGCAGGTGAAAGTTCTCCGGCGGAACTTGGCCTCCATTAAAGATTTGGTTTGTTCACAGATGGAGCTGTTGGAGGCGGGGTCCCGGCACTTCAGGAGGACGTTTCAAATCAGAATCAGTTTGTTGCTTCGTCAGAAGATTAGCAAACCGCTGGCAGGAAGGTCTCTTCGCATTTCCACATGATTGATCTTCAGTCACCCTCACGTCTTTTTTATGGCAGCGATGAATTACAAGATGTTCTTCCTCGCATTCATCAGAACAAGAATGAAACTCGTCTCCAACATCTTTTCTCATTTTGTTTACGTTTCATGATTTGTCTCATTCTGGCCACCGCCCTGACCTGAGTCACTGTGCTTCAGGGTGATTTCCTGGTGTGAATCTGGCTTTTGGTTATGGTCCAGGGTGACCCCGGTGTGGCCTGGCCCTGATCCAGCAGCTGTCTGCCAGCTGCTGCAGCAGCTAATGAGGGATGCTGAACGTTTCCCCCTGCTGGCTGACTGCTTGATTTATTGTTCCGCTGCAGTTCATACCTGCAGCCGTGTTCCTGTGTATTAACCAACACCACATAATAAAGTTTCCTCTGCAGCTGATGTATCGATCCTCCGGTCTGTTGCTGAGATGCATGTAGGAGCTACAGTGATAGTGTTGTGGCGAATAACATTYGACTTTGTCCCGAAAGGACGTTAAGAACCGACACTGAAAGGTTTCATGTCTTGAGGATTGAAGATCTTCATCTTTTTGTCTCATAAATCAAAYTCAAAACATCAGCCGGAGTAACGCGTTGCTGTCAATCAAAACAGGTTTTCWTTAAACTCACGGGCTTCAGGTGTCAAACGAGCCGACTGTGACCTCATCACTTCGTCACATACAAAGATGTGTGGAGTGATGCTCGGGCGCTTTTCTTTCTTTTGGACTCTCTGAGCTCGTAATGCCGACGGTGCAGTTTTAACTACAGTAAATTAAGTTTTTGCTGAAGTGCTTCTGTATACGCAAATGAGCAAAGATATACAAGTAAAAACTTGTGTCTGTGCATATTTTTAACCTTTTTCTTTGATAACTAAAGGTTGACTGGTGCATAAATTATTTTGGATATTCCCCACTGCAATTATGTGGATGTTTTCTGTTATTCTTTTGTTTCCAGCTTCCTATACTTTTTTCCTAAATTGTCCTGCATATTAAAGGAGCACATATAGAGCAGTCTGAAACTGCTGTACAAGAGGGAAAAGGTGCATGAAAAAATGAAACCAAATGTAATAAAAGTAGTTGTTTTATGTTTGTAGACATTTGTTTTCCAGCTCATCTGCCTTGTGCATGAATTCTTTATAATAATTAATAGGTGGTAACTTTTCTCAGTGTTTATAACCTCTATAAATTAAAGCCCGCTTCGATGACCTCACTTAAAAGCACACAATCACGCATCAACACACACACGTGCAAACACAAGGGTTTGGTGTCTTTATGGTAATTATGCAGATGGAGAGAGAGTAAGYGGCTAGCAAGCAACACTTTAATTTGAATTCCTCCTTTCACCCACCATGTTTCACTAATAGTTCCATTCACAGTCATTTGTTCCGCTTCGGGCAATGACTCATAACAGAAGTATTGGGATGTAAAACAAATGTACCAAACACAYGTGCACCCCCTCTTTTAATTCTTTACACATTGCACCTCCTTCCTTCCACAGCTCCAGCTCCACCTTCCTTCGCTCCAGCATCGTTACGGCTTTTGGCGGCGGAAAGTGTTGAGTTATGGCGTGTCACTGTTTTTAAGTGCTTCGGTATAAAATGAGCTCAGGGAAACCACAAGATGTGGAACGAGGTAGGCAAACCATGCTCTGCTGCAGTGTGCCAACCGTTTATTATCCGGTAATATCATCATACAGCGCACACCTCAGGCACCACATCCACCCAGCAGATATTTATGAGGGATATATTATTTTTCACTACGCACACAATAAATCATCACTTGAAACTTTAGCTGAGTGGTTGCTCACTTGAACCGCCCCCCCCACCCCCACCCCACGGGTGTGATTCCACCCCGACGCCTAAAAACATTTGCAGGAACTCCTGTTTTTTTTGCTTCAGAGTTTTATTTGCCCATTACCACAGTGACGTGGAAGTCGTTCAGCGCCGAGCTTGTTTTAACTAAAGAGCCGCCTCGACTCAAGCAGACAGAACAAACTGCATCTTGTTACCCTGAAGGTAATGTGTATCTGTGAGCACCAGTAACTGCCTCAGATCTGGGTTTGTTTATGAAGCTTAGTGSTTTTAGTATTTAATTATTTCAGGGGGCAACAGAACTGTGAGCGATGTCCTTGCTGAGTGAATGCTGAGTCAGCATTTTCACCATTAAAACAATCCACTTTTTTTCCACAAAATTTTCAGCAGATATCTCATTTTACAATTTTTGTGCTACAACAGTTTCAACAATTTATGTATCAAAAGTTTGAGCTCATTCAGAAAATTCCAACTATACATTTTTGTATTTCAGCACTTTATACTTTTTGTAATATTTAGCTTTTTCTGCCTTTTTTTGTTCTCATTGAAATTGAATGGAGCTGCCTATCTTGCACTTTTTTTACACACAATTTTTGTTCAGGCTCTACTTTTTTACTACTTTTGTGGGAATTTTAGTTTGGTTTAGCTTCTTTTTAGCTAATTTTAGCTTTTTTTCAGCTATCTGCTCATTTCAGCTAATCTACTAACTTATTTTCTTTGTGCTTTTATCAGCTTATTTCTGCTACTTTAAACTCTTTATGCTACTTTCAGCTGTTTTATGCAATTTAAGCTATTTTTAGCTATTTTCAGCCAATTATCACTTTTTTAGCTTTGTTTTTTTAACTATTCTGTTAATTTATTTCTTTGTGCTTTCATCAGCTGCTTCTTATGTTCAATTCTTTTTGCTTCTTTTAGCTGTTTTCCGCAATCGAAGCTATTTTCAGCTCATTTTAGCTTATTTCAGCTGTCTTTTCAGCCATTCTGTTTATTTATTTTCTTAGTGATTTCATTAGCTTCTTTTGCTAATTTAAACTCTTTATGCTTCTTTCAGCTATTTTCTGCAATTTAAGCTATTTTTAGCTGTTTTCATCTAAATTTAGATTTTTTATCTATATTCACCTTTTTGTGATGATTTCAGCTTCTTTCATCTTCTTAATTCACCAAACATGCTCTTTCTGCTTCTTTGTGCTAAATTCAGCTTTTTCAAACTACTTTGCTACCTATTTCTGCTAATTTCAGCTTTTTTGAACATTTTTTCTATTCTGAAAAAATCTTTCAGCATTGAGCATTCTTGTAGTCATCAAAGTAGCCTTAATTTAGTTCAGCTACAAATACATTTTACTTTATTCTGCAAAACATTAGTGTTCAGATTCCCATAACAGCTAAAGGCCCTGTCACACTAGACAACTTATCCCAACTTATGACCTTTTTAAAGGCATCTGCATTGAAGATGGAATTTAAAAAATCATCAGGAAACTTCTTTTCAGCGTTGCAATTCAAACAAATTGATCAAATATATAACTTTTATTAGTAATTTAGATGTAAAAATATTTCATAAGTTGTCTAGTGTGACAGGGCCTTAAAGTTTGCTGATTCATGTCTTGTTACAAATTTCAGTCTGGATCTCAAGTGTCTCCTGGACTYCTAAGTTATAAAAAGTAGTGGTTAAAGTGTTCCACTACAAAATAAAACACTTCAAAAAGCCAAATATAACACATCAAAATCACATTGAACAAAACATTTCAGAGGTTATCGTGACATTTTTACAGAAWAACCTGCACTTGAGGTTTGATTTTTTAACACTTTTTTAAAATGTTCCCTTCAAAACAGTTTAATGGAAGAAATAATTGTAAAACTTAACTACCGCTCATCATCACAAAGCCATCCTCAGACTGAGTCATGCATTTTGACCCTTAAATCATGGTCAAGAGGGCACTGTCTCCTCCTGTATTTGACTCTATATGTTTACTGGAATAGTTGTAAGGATGGCTGTATTCTCCAACAGGCTTGGACAGCTGATCCTCAGCTGAGCAGAAATGAAAACACTTTTCATAAACCAACAGTCACAAAGTTTTGACCAATCATACAATACATGGCACATACMGAGAGAAACYAGTTCTGTCRGGGGSCAATGCACAAGACRGGGTCTCAGAGGGGAGTRGCTGCAGAAGAAAAATGCACCATTTTCGTCTTTTTAAATTTGCCAACCCTCCCAGAGCTGAAGTTTGCAGTGAAGCGACCCTCACTTCCTGTCAAACCAGCGACACGTCAGAACAGCAACAAGTGGGTGTGAGTGAGTCACTGTTTTCTGAGCACATTGTTGATCTGCGCGCACTCATTTGGACCGGACCCAYGGGACCAGACGTTTCCCAGAATAGGAACATTAACCTCGGCTCATTGGCCTGGTTTCCTGTTGGTTCTTGTTTGTGCAGTGGTTTTCAGATGATTGGATTACAAATTAAAATATCATATTTTGTTTACATTTAAAGGGGACATATCATGCAAAATCTACATTTGTAGCCGTTAAATGCGTTTTGTTGTGTACTTGTGTCTCTAGGGGTGGATTTAAAGAGACAGCCTCAAATTGAGTTGATTTGAGACACTTAAATGTGAAAAAGGATTCAAAAGCATCAYATGTCTCCTTTTTAAGTTAGAATAACTAAATAAAGAACCTAAATATATTAGAAGCGGCTCCACTACAATTTAAAATTTATTTTTACTATATTGACTCCAGTGATCCACTTCGGTCCGTTAGCTTGTTACCAGTGGCGGAGCCAGATATTTTTCTCAGGGGTGGCCAGATGGGGACCACTACACACACAGGGGTGGCCAGGAAAATTACATGATTTTTTTATTTGAAATTTTCTGCAGATCTTTGTGTTTTTGTCATTTCCTTATGTCCTTATGCYGGCAGTGACTACCTTACAAACATGGGCGTCAGAGCTATTTTAAAAGTGGGGGGACTCACTGTTGGGGGGTCTGGGGGTCCTCCCCCAGAAAATTTTGGATGAAGTAGTTGCCATTTCCTGCATTCTGGTGTATTTTACCAGGTTGTTAAACATACTTTTACCTACATAAATTAACACTTGATTTAATTATTTCMGAGACAGACTTTTCTAGTTCCATCATCCTGTTTTTAAACTCACTGCTACAGCTGAGAAAAAGTTAATTAATGTGGCACAGTTTATTGTAAGAGTGAGCTTAAGGTGAATTAAGCTTTTCCCACATCTCTCATACACAAGTTTATGAGGAAAACTTTTATCAAGGTATTTCTCATTACTTGTTAATATCTTGACTGTGCGAAGTGAAAAGTGACACAGTAAGTGAACGTTCAGACGAGTTCAAGTTGATTCATAAAAGACTATGCAATCATTTATTTACACAAATTGAACAGATCATAAGTTACACTCGAGTGAGGTTATTCCTATAACAAGCGTCAGAGTTAAATGAGATAAAACCTGTGTCCGAATTTCAATTCACATCAACTCAGATTACTTATATAGAACAGTAAAACATCAGTTCTGATGTTAAAAACCAAACAATTTTACTGGCACTTTTAGCTTAAGTTTTGGAAAATTAAGAATAAGGAAAAGAGGAAAGT